CTCATTAGATGTGTCAGTTGCTGCCCTTCTCTCTTTGGGAAAGTGTGACAGAGACTGAGCTTGGGGGCCAGTTCACAGCAGAAAGATTAAAACCTGTGCTTTGGAAGCCGATTTGCTTTGGGATATTTAAATATCCTGTGTGTGTATTTCTCCATTGTTCTCTGCAGGGCTCAAAACGCCTTTTAAAAGATAAAGCTGGTGTCAGCCTTTGCTAAGCAGAACCAAGAGGAAAAGAAGTTGCTCTCTTGGCTCTCGGGAAGCAGGCAGCAGAGCGCCCCCTGCGGGCCAGTGCGGACAGAAGCGGGAGAGAGGATGCCCCGGCCGCGGAAGAAAGAAGCTGCCAGCCAGGGTCAGAGTCCTTGCCTGTGGGCGTTTTATCAGAGCAGCTCGGGAACAAAGTGGACCCAAGACTCAGAGAACATCACCTTAGGGTGGGATCAAGGCTTCCCGCAGCAGATGCTTCCCCCACTCCCACCCCTCACACTATGCATCCAGCAAACATTCCCCGGGGTGAAAGGAGGACTAAGGAAACTTGGAGCAAAAGCAAGTGTCAGCCTAGGATGTTGTGCCCAGAAGGGCAATTACCCACAGAGGAAACAGAGTGGCCCTTCTCCCGTTGTCCACCCATGTCTCCTCACCCTGCCCCCTGCACATGAGGAGCCCGCGAGAGCTGGCTGGCTGGGGCCAGTGAAGGGTGCAGCTTCTGGGGAAGGAAGGAGGGGGAGGACCACAGAAGGCAATCCAACCAGGGCTCGGTGGCGCTGAGACCCCCAAACTACCCACCCACGGTGGTCCTGGAGGCCAGCCCTCCAGATGAACCGGCTAGTTCTGCACACAGGCCATGAGGAATGCAGGGACCAGATCCTAGATCTGGAAGGACAGTCGTGGGACTGGGACGCCTGGGAGGCCACACACTTGGTGATCTTGAGTTTTCAGAGGCTGAGGTAACAGTTGTCCATTGCAGGATTCTGTCACCTTCTAGGTATGGCACTGCATATGTCATTTATCCTTCAGAAGCGCTAATGAAAGGTACTGATGGACTTGCAGACCCTGGAGGTGATTCCCCTCAGCTGCTTCCTCACCAGGCCATGCTGACTGGACCCACAAGGTGTCCTGGACCTCTGGGAGCCTGGATGACACCAGAAGTGCTCAGCCTGGGGGTGCCTGGCTGGCTCAGTCAGTGGAGCATGTGACTCTTGATCTCGGGGTTGTGAGTTCCAGCTCCACCTTGGGTGTGGAGATTACTTAAAAATAAAATTTAGGGACGTCTGGGTGGCTCAGTCATTAGGCGTCTGCCTTCGGCTCGGGTCATGATCCCGGGGTCCTGGGATCGAGCCCCGCATCGGGCTCCCTGCTCAGCGGGAAGCCTGCTTCTCCCTCTCCCACTCCCCCTGCTTGTGTTC